TTTGATTAAACATAACTTATTAAGAAAAGTTTCCGAGATTTTCTGGAATTTCTGGAAAACTGGTTTTCTAGAAAACCAGTTTCTGGAGGTCTAGCAACACGTCTCATATTGATATTCGGAATCAGCATGGACGACCACTTATAGTCCACTAGTTTTCAGCCCGACAGGGATTTGTCAGTTGGGAACGTTCCCTCGTTAATTATAAAAAACGAAGGATAAGAATACCCTCAGACAAGAATGGTGACTTTAGCATACAACAAGGTATTTCTCTAACATATAGAAAAGTATTCAAAACCATTGAATCACTTAATACTATATGCAGCGGCCCACTAAATATACTATAATATTAATATTCGTGTTTTACCTGTACTTGTAAACCAGAGAGCTGAAGAATAGAAACAAAAATACAAAAAAAAACAAAAAAAAAACAATGAGAGAATCTTAGTGTGACTGTTAATGATATAAAAAACAGTTCTAAAAAGGTTTCATTTAGTCTACCAAAGGTTAATCGAATATCTGAGCAGAGTTGAACAAGTCACAAGTCAAGTCAATTTGTCCCTCGAAAGTTTTTCCTACAAGTCAAGTCGAGTCAAGCCTGATTAAAAAATAGGCAGAACATAAAATTTGCTAGCATATCTTTTAGGTGAGATACAGTTTTTATGGGTTCAGAAACTGTTTCATGGTAAAACGAAAATCTCTTACTAGAAATGACAGAACAATTTTTCAAGTCGGTAGTCACAGTGATGAAAAAAAATCTCTCAAGTCAAGTCACACCCCAAAAATTTTTTGACCAAGTCAAGTCACATTTGATTTGGACCTGAGACATTTTTGACTTGACTTGCCCAGCTCCGTATCTAAACATTCTCTCTGTATGTAGAGATGAATTATATATCTTTTCGCTTAATTATCTACCTTGTCTCGTTCATTATCTAATCTGTTATACTTAACAAGCCAATTTGAATTGTTTCGATCTGTAAATGCACAATAATAATAATAATAATAATAATTTAATTTCTAAGTCTCTAATCCACGTTTTATACCTGTATTTCTGATAATATAATCTAGTACAACCAGACGTTCAAATTGTCTTTGAAATTGCTGTGAAACATCTTCGATTAAGGGTTCACGATCAATTTGTCTCAGAAAAGTATCAGCATCTTTATAGCCTTCAACAAATAATTGAAATGAACCAATCTAAACAAACATGTAAACAATTTATCATTAATTCTTATTATATATGTCTGAATTATGAGACTTGTATAAACAAAAAATTGTAAAATTCAGATTTTAGATACTGAAAAATGTTATTCACCTTCGTTGGTAATCCTTGCGGTTGAAATACTCTTCTACCATGAAATTGTGCTGATACACGTTCATTGATTTCACGTTTAGCTGTCATCCATCGTCGTTTATATGCCGGATAATTGAACGAATCGGCAGCTAATCGAACGACCTAGAATTTTATCTGTGAATATTGACAGTACACAGTGCGCAACAACGTGGACATTTGGGGAAAAAACGAAAATGAGATTTTTAGAGATTCAATGAGTGCTACATATACAACGATCAGTGGCCTATTTAATGGTGAAAAATTTTGGCTCTAGTGCCTAAGGTCATCGAGAAAAGTAAGCTGCAATTTTTAGCTCGGTTTGTGTGGCCTTTAAAAAATATTGCTCTTTCTGTCAACAGAACGAACTTCTGAAAAAATGAAACACACATACTCTGAAAGCTGAGTTTCCAGGCTATCTATTAATAAAAAGAGTTTTTAATTTTAGTTAGTTTTTGGTGGG